AGGCTGCGATGACGGGAGTCTTGTACACTGCTTACGTAGATCACATTCACTAAAAAGATTTTTTTGTAAGAAATTGGTGAAGTTTTTTTCTATTTGTTTCACAAAAAAAAAAAAGGCAGTACCTAAATCGCAAAAAAAATTACCTTAATCTCCAACGACGTAGCCACCTTTGATGATATGGGATCGACCTCAAAATTCTTGTTCCGCCCAGGATTCAACTCTCTGTCTGCATCTGCTGCCGAAAAACTTCCCTCCGAGCTTTCCATTCTCTTGACCAGAAATTTCCCTCTTCAAATTAATATTTCTTCCTCAGTTCCTTTCCCTTCAACTATGCAAAAAGAGAGAGAGAGAGAGAGAGGAAAAAAGGATCGACAGAGGCTTTTCAAATCAGCAACAAAGGAAATTTCACCCAACATATGTCAGAATTTCCATAAAGGGCTACCATATATTGTGAGAGGGATCTCAACCGCTTCCTATTCTTGTTCCCAATGCCCAAATTGCACTCGTCTGTTGCCTCTCAACAAGTTTTTTTTTTTTGAGTACCGCTTGGAGGTGTCAGGGTTCGTATGTGAATTTCGATTAATCTTCTCTCTTATCTTATCAAAAATAGATTATTTAAGTTGGGATTAAAAAATTTATGAGGGATAAATTTCATGTGATCTGATCTCAAAAAATTGTCAAAATTTAAATTCAAGACATTTAGATTTACTAGCAATACACCACATGCGTTGCACGTGAATAATTTTTTTTTAAAAAAATTAATAAATAAATATTTGGTATATGGGTACTTGAATTAAATCTGATCTCAAATTTACTAAATATATTTTTTCATCTCTCATACTCTACTATAAAACTTTTGAAAATTTTGTATATTTTCAAGTGTTATTGTTCTAACTTTAAGAAAAATAATAAAAAAAAGAAAAAAAATAATTAAAGTTCTATTTTGTTTCTACAATTTTGTAATTGAAAGTGATTTTTTAGTGATGTTTGAAAATTAAATTTTTTAAAATTAATTTGATTAAGATTCCACTTATAAATCATTAAATAAAATAAAAATAATTATCAATATACCTTGTATTGGAACTTATTGTATTTAGGATTAATTAGGTCAATTGAGATAAAATTTAATATACTGGGCCATAATATATATTATGAAGCATATTAAAATTTTTAAAAAATTCAGGTTTTCACATAAAATGTTAACACAGTGTAAAAAATTCACTGCGACTAAAAAATCATGTAAAACTATATATATATTATTTTTTATTTTAAAAAAATAGTTAAACATTTTGATAAAAATAAAATATACATATGTAATCATAATATTATCTTTATAAATGAGATGCGTATTATTATATTGATGGAGTTTTTATAAAATTTTGTTAAAATGTAAAATAATGCACATATTTTTTAAGAATAATATAATTAATCAAAAAGTTTCATAAAAATTGACATTTATAAATAGAGAATAGATAATTAGAAAATTAATTTGATTAAAATTGTACTTATAAATCATTGAATAAAAAAAATAATTATCAACATACTAATCATATTAGAATCTTACTGTATTTAGGATTATCTAGATTAATTGGAATCAAATTTAATATACAATGCTATAATATATACTATAAAACATATTAAATTTTAAAAAAAAAAATTCACATAAAATTTTAACAAAGTCTGAAAAGTTTACTGCGACTAAAAAATCACGTAAAACTATATATACATTATTTTTTATCTTAAAAAATGAAAGGGTTAAACATTTTGATGAAAAATAAAATATAAATATGTAGTCATAAGGTGAGTAATATTATATGAAGAAATTTTTGAAGCCTTTTTTGAATATTTGTTAAAACTTATAATGATGCATATATTTTTTAAGAGTAATATAATCAATCAAAAAATTTCATAAAAATTGACATTTATATATATGGAATATATGACTAAAAGTGATCTTAGACATAATTTAGAGATTTAAATACATAAAGATATGATAATAATTTAGATATTAAGTGTAGAATGATAGAATGACTTTTTTAATTATTTGTGAGGGTAAAATAGTGAATCAAAAGCTTTTCATGTTAAGGTACTTTTATTAGTAGTATATATATATATATAAATATAGATATAGATACATCATTTCTGTTACTATTTGAGTTATTCTTAAGATTATTTGACTGATTATTCATTTTCATGACACATGCAATGAATTTGGACGTTTGATACGATACTGGTTATAAGTGTGTGAGCAAGGAAAGAGGTGAAACAAACATGATGCAAGAGAGACGATTAAGAGAGATGATCATATAGTCATGGTAGAGTGTGAGCCGCTAATTGGGATTTAGGAAGTTAATTATTATTATTATTATTATTATAACATTGGAAAGTTAATTAACAATTAACCCATAGTAATAAACTATAAGTAATAATATGTATCTCAAATTTATAATTTAAATTTGTATTTTAGATCAAGGAGGACCATTGGATCAGTGAGTCCAATCAACTTTTTTAAATGGAACTCACTGATCTAATGGTTCTCCTTAATTTGAAATACAAATTTAAATTATAAATTTGAGATAAATAACACTATGCATAAACTATTACTATAGGAAGATTAGTACACCACACCCCCACCTTCCCCTTTTTTTAATAGTATAACTAACTGAGACAGAGGTTGTGGTTCATTCTTTCAAATCATGATATACTAGATCTACAGTTGAGGATTGTTTTGAGTATCATAGTTCGAGAGACATTTATGAGATTTACTCATACAAATAACTCAAATCGAGATTTACGTTTAAAAATTATTTGGAAAATACTATTTAATCTAAATTTGTAACCCAAATTTTTATATCAAATGAAGGAGGATCATTGGATGAGTAAGTCTCGTAAATTTTTTAAATGGGATCCACTGATCTAATAGTCCTCCTTCATTTTGGATACAAATTTAGATTACAGATTTGTGTTACATAACATTGCTCAAATTACTTTGGATAAAAAAAAATTTATTTTGACCTCATTTAATGACTTAATTTTTATAACCTAATTCAATGCAACCATTAAATTAGAGCAAAACTTCATTTAACATTATAACTCATAATTAATTCAATAATTGGATTGAATTAGGTATTCAAATTGAGGACAAATGTGCTTGCTCTTCTGGTATGTCATCAAAAAAAAAAATTGTTAAATTGTTAGGGGCATTCAAGCAGTTTATGCACATTTCGAGTAATCTCTTCTTCAGTTCAGTCAAATGTAGGTCCTTCATGCCAAAATTAAGATATTTATGAGGGATAAATCTCGGATGACCGAACCTCAATGGAATGTCAAGACTTTAACTTATAACGTTTAGATTTACAATTTTTCTTTTAGAAAATATAATGGGTCGTTTAGTTGCAATATTAAAGTGTGGATTATAGCGTTATAATAAATTAAAATTCTCTAATTTAACCTTATATTACATTTGGTTGCAAAACGTATTGTCTTATTTTAAATACTTATCCAAATAATACACTCTATCTTTACTATTGAGTTGATTATAATACCACTTGGAGAGGTGATATTATAGTCTTGTTCAAGCGTATTAAGTTTTAAATTTATTATTTTACCCACAAAAAAAAACATTAATAACTGGATAAGATTGATAATTTTTTGGTCAATATATAATTAATACCTTTTTATCTCACCCTTAATCGAATGTCTTATCAAACACTGAATTACAATGCGTAATATTTTTATCTCATATTTAATTTTGTATTTTATTCACTTATTCTGAATTAGTTTGTATTACTTAATACAATTCAATAATTCATTATTTTACAATACGATTACGAAAACGAGTTGGACAGAATAACTGTAATGGAAGTGAAAGACATGCGCATACGAGGAGATAAATAGGTGATTTATCTGATTTTAGAGATAAAAAAGTAATTTGAAATATAATATACCCCATCTAGATTATAATACCACCGCTATTGAAATAGACTTATTGGTACGGATATAGTGTATTAAAAATATGCACTTGATATACGTATTTAAAATAGTACTACATATTATATATAATTAATTTTGAATTAACTAACAAACGAGGTACAAAACACAATTAGACCAATTTTAATCTAATATAATAATTTATTCCCATAATACAACAAGTAAACGAGCTCAAACAAATGAGTACAAAATGATTTATCCTCTAAAATAAGTGGCTTTAGATGGGTGTCACAAAGTGTAAACAAACTTCAGTACAAAATGTCCACACAATTAGGGTCGCAATTTGGGTGGGTCAATCTGAATCCGACCCAAAAAAATTAAAATTTTTAATACTTGGACAAAAAAATTTCAACCCGCGGGTTTTCGGTTTCAACCTCTCCATGCGCCTCTTTGCCTCTTTCGTTCTCTCCCTTGTTCTCTGTCTCCATCTCTCAGCCTCTCTCACTCTCTCGGCTTCCCTCTCACTCACTATCAGTCTTGATCTGTGCCGAAGACCACAACGAAGACCAGCCTTGATCTGCGCAAAACCTTTGTGGCTATGGCATCTCAGATCTGGTGGGTGTGGTGGCGATGAGCAATGGTTGTGGTGGCAGTAGAGGTGGCGGCGATGGGCAGTGGCTGTGGTGGTTTCTTCGATATACTCAAGATCTGAGATTGGCTTTCCATTGTGCACAAACACTAGAACTCGTTTGAAGTGGCTGTGTGCTGTCTTGGTGAGGTGTTGGCCTGGTGGAGAACTCCCCTATTCTCTGTTTTTTTTTTCTGCAATTTTTTCGTGTTTCTGCTGTGCTGGTTGGTTGCCGTTGATGCTTGCTGATTTTTGTTGTTTGTTGCTGAGTAATCTTGTCGCTGATTTAGAGGGAAATGGATTGATATGCTTATCAAGATTGGACTGAAACCCAAACTCAACCCGACAATAACCCGAAATCAAGAAACCCGAATTCAACCCGGATTAAAATTAGGGTTAAAATTAGAGTTAAAATTAAAATTAAAGATTATTCAACCCGCCCGAATTCCACCCTTGCCCACATTCGAACTTACTCGTGCTATGACCAGACCACCCTTGCCTCTGCACACCACAACCAGACTCTTGTCCCACCTCCAAGCCACCAGAACTTACGCAGCCACCCTATGGAACACTCAGCTGCGAGAACTAGTCAGAAAGGGCCTATTCCAACAAGGCCTCTCTCTCTATCGTCAAATGTTCCGTTCAGGCATTTCCCCGAACGCCTTCACCTTCCCATTCGTCCTCAAATCCTGCGCCAACCTCTCTCTCCCCGTCCCCGGCGCACAACTCCACTGCCATGTGGTAAAAACCGGGTGCGAATCCGAACCCTTTGTCCAAACTGCTCTCACCTCAATGTATTGCAAATGTTGTAGAACTAACGATGCACGGACGCTGTTCGATGAAAATCCCGAGTCAAGAAGACTTACCGTCTGTTATAATGCTTTGATAGCTGGATATGTTCAAAATTCATTGTTTTCAGATGGGTTTGCTATGTTTCGTGAAATGAGATTGGCGGGAATGGAAGTTAACGCGATT